GTTTTCATTATGAATGTATCATTTTTGTAATTTCTTTCTTGGTGAGTTCATTATTGGTATACAGCAATACTATTGATTTTTGTGCTGATGTTGTATCCTGCCACATTGCTGAATTTGATTATTAGATCTAGCAATCTTGGGCCAGGAATATAGCTCAAGGGCCAGGGATATAGCTCAGTAGCACAAGCATCTGCCTGGCAAGTGTAAGGTCCTGAGTTTGAATTCTGCTATCAAAAAAAAAGAGCCCATAGAAATCTTTTGGTGGAATTTTTTGGGTCTTTTATGTAAAGGGTTATGTGATCTGAAAATAATAATTTGACTTTTTTAAATGTATCCCTTTTATTTCTTTACCTTGCCTGATTACTCTGGCTAATGTTTTGAGTACTATATTAAGAGTGGCTGGGGATATAGTTCAGTGGCACAGGTGCCTGCCTGGCAAGCACAAGGTCCTGAGTTCGATTCCTAGTACAAAGAAAAAAAAAAGGTATTCCTAAGAAGAGTGGTGATAGTGAACATCTTTTTCTTGTTCCTGATTTTTGAGGAAAAGCTTTGTTTTCCCCCACTTAATATGATGTTGGCAGTAGATTTGTTATAAATGGTTTTTATTGGCTTAAGATAATGTCCTTCCATACCTATTTTCCTCAAAGTTTTTATTCTGAACAGATGCTGGATTTTTTTTTTTTTTCTTAGACAGGGTCTTGCTACATAGTTCAGGCTGGTCTCAAACTCACAGCAATCCTCTCGCTTCAGCCTCCCAAGTGGTGGGATTACAGGCATGCACCACCACACCTGGCCAAGATGCTGGATTTTGTCAAAGTTTTTCTTCTGCATCTATTGAAATGATCATGTGAGTTTTGTTCTTTCTTCTGCTTATACAATGTGTTATATTTATTGATTTGCATATGTTGAATCATTCTTGCATCTCTGGGATGAAGCCTACTTTGTCACGATGTATAATCTTTTTAATGATTTATTGCATTCTGTTTGCTAGTCTCTTGTTGAGGATCTTTGTATCTATATTCACTAAAGAGATTGGTCTGATTTTTTAGTTGAACACTTGCCTGATTTTGAAATCAAGGCAAGACAGTTTCTGAAATGAGCTTAGTAGGACTCCTTCCTTTTCAATTTTATTAAGAGTTTGAGAAGTACTAGTGTTAGATCTTCTGAAGTTCTTGTAAAATTTAGCAGTGAAGCAATTGGGTCCTAGGTGGACTTTTTATTTACTGCCTTAATTTCATTGCCCATTATTATATTATTCCTGGTTTTATGTCTCCTTGGTCCAGCTTTGGTAATTCACATGTCCTAAGAATCTATCCACTTTGTCTAAGTTCTCTAATTTATGGGAGTATAGGTTTTTGAAGTACTTACTAGTAATCTTCTAGACTTTAGCAGTGTCTGCTGTGATTTTGCATTTTTCATTTCTAATTGCATTGATACAGGTTTTTTTCTTTCTTTTGGTAAGACTGGCCAAGGGTTTGTCTTTTTATTCTTTGAAAGAACCAACTTTTCATTTTCATTTTTGTCTCAATTTCATTAATTTCTACTCTGACCTTTATAATTTCTTTCTTTTTGCTAGTTTTAGATTTGGATTATTCTTGGGTTTTATAGGACCTTGGGGTGTATTATTAAGTAATTTACTTGGGCTTCCTCTGTTTTTCTAATGACGGTATTCATAGCTATAAACCTCCCTCCTAGAATTGCTTTGTCTCCCATAGGCTCTTGTATGTTGTACTGGTGTTATTGATTCTAGGAAGTGTTTTATTTTTTTCCTCAGTTTCTTCTGTGATCCATTGGTTGGTTATTCAGGCATGTATTATTTAATCTCTATGTGCCTGCAAAATTTCTATGGTTTCTTTTGCCAATGATTTCTAGTTTGATTGGACTGTGTTCAGATTACATACATAGGATAATTTCTTTTGTATTTACTTAAGCTTGTGCCACTGAGAATGTATATTCTGTTGTTGTAGATATCTATTAAGTCCATTTGTTCAAAGGTATATCTCAACTCTGATAGTTCCTTGTTGACTCTTTTGTCTAGTTGAACTATTTATGATAGAGGTCCCCCACAGATGCAATTACCACACTGTAACAGACTGCATCTGTAGCACTGTAACATAATGCATCAGAAACATTTTCTGCCTAGTTTAAATGATTTGTGATCATCACTTTTTGTGTCTATCCTTCTCATGTGTGCCATGGGCTGGATATTCCCAGATGGGCCCCGGGACTGCCAGCCTATCTCCCATCTTTCTGCCAAGCTCCTCATCACCTGGCACACCATTAATGTCAGTGCTTCAGAGTTCACCTCTGTGCTATGCTGGGCACCCAGCATATACCCTCCACACCCTCACAGCAGTGTTGGGTGAGGGTTCTGTGGTCCTTCCCCCTGGTGAGCCAGGGGCCCTGCTGGAGCTGGCCTCAGGTAGCACTGCCTGGTTGCACCTCACTGGCAAGATGATGACACAACCTCGAGGTCAAGCTGGAGGGACCCAACCCCCCAGAACATGTCGTCACTCTTCATTTTTGTTCAAGTAGTTGTAGAAGATGGGTTTAGTTCTAATTCAGGTGCATTTTCTAGTCATATTTGGTTTTTAGCTTTAAATATAAGAAAGAAAGTTTACTTGAGTTTGGTTGCAGAAGTGAGCAGAGTTCCCGTGGCAGTGCACCTATGCCTCTTACCCCAACAGCAAATTCATTTTTTTTCCTCCTGGTAGTTTAGATTGAATCCAAAACCTTCTCACTAAGCTACGTATCCAGCCCTTTAAAAAAAATATTTGAGGGTCTCAATAAGTTTCCCAGGCTGAGCAGAAACTTTCAATCCTCCTGCCTCAGCCTCCCAGAGCACTGGGGTTGCAGGCATGTGCCATCACACCTCCTTCCAACAGTGACTCTTGGGGGCCCAACCATGGGGAACCAGTGGAGGGAGGGTGTGTAGAATATTCTGGAGCCTCACTTACGACAGCTCAGCACTTCTCAACTTTAACCTATTTCCCTGAGGCAGGCTCCTCTCCTTGTGAGGGAGACCGGCTTCTTCCGCTTTTTACCATCCATCATGTTTCAAGCCATTGGTCACTTTTCTTGCCATTCTCTGGGTCTTTCCAAGTTCTCAGTTCTGCTGGGGTGCCCTGAGGAGGGCAGCACCCTATGGGACAGGGAGAAGAAGGGACAAGTCCTAGTGCCTGTCACTATGCATCAGGTGGAGCCCTAGCCCCATCTGGGCTTGAACTTGCCCTCCTCCTGCCCCAGCCTCCCAGAGCACTGGGATTATAAGTGGGTGCCACCATGCCTAGCTTCATTTTGTGTTAATTACCTCTTTAAAGACCTTGTTGCCAAATCTAATCACATGCAAAGGTGTTGCAACACGTGAATTTGCGGGGCACACTGCGGCTCATGAAGAAGCACATGCACACGAAGTGCAGAGCACTCGGCATGGCACAGAATCACCCACCAGTGTGACTGCAGCCAGCCCTCACCACCCACCC